AAAAGCACACACAAAAAGAGAAGAAAAAAAAAAAAAAAAACCCTCTGTAAAAGATATGGTTACCAAAAATGTAAATAGGTGTATCATTGAGTTGAAATTAATCCAACATCTAATTTGAGATACTCTCACCTTTTACATGCCTGTGAAATACTATTCTTCAGCTTTATACAAATGCTAAGCTTAATTCTGCCTGGGGAAGTACTAGACCAATGCGTGCTAAAGAAGTAAAAAAACCATCATTTTTACCAACATTTAAAGAATACTACTAAAATGATGTGACAGTTGACACCTGATTTCATATACCGCTGCATATTTTCTCATGGCCTTGTAATTCACAAGTGATTGCAGCTATAGACAGTTTATTGTAAGGAATTTCATAGCTAGAAGACTTTGTCATAAGAGTACTTCAACTCATTTAGGAATGATTGGCTTTTTTCATGAAGTGAATAGAAGAAATAAGAGGATATAAAATGTTTTTTTTCATATATCAATGAGGATTTGAATTCATAGTATTGACTCAGTGACCTCTTTCTCCTCGTATAATAAAAGAAATTGCACATCTATAAGTTGGACATTGCATTGATGGCTCATTGGGAGAGTCTAAAGTTCTGTTAAGGAATTCTTTATGTCACACTGTACTTTGCATCTAATCCCAGTATTCCACCTTTATTGAGACAGTCCTATTATAGTGGTTTTGCGGTCTTGGGATGCGTATAAGCAATGCAGCCAGGTGTGGCGTATTGTCCGGTGATAAAGGTGAAGGCCAAGTATTTAATAAATTTTCAGGATCTTATATCACGTAATTTTTCATGAAATCAAGAAGTACCGAAAAAAGATCTCATACATTTAGACGATTGATAAATCGTCAACACTCCGAGAAGAACAGTGAGCTAGACTTACTCCTCCTTTGACCTTGAACATCAGTAAATTTTCACCTATATATTTCCGAATTATACAGGTTTGTGGAAATCATATATCTCTCACTCTGGTTATTCTGGATGTTGTCGTTATGCGTCTAAGCATTAACAACATGAGAGATCGTATATAGATGAGGCTAGAGATGACTCAGATGAGATCAAAATGGATTCTCATCCTAGCTCCAATTAGATAGGTACAGAGATATCTCTATCTCATCTAATTAATTACAATAAACACCACAATATTATTGTAATTGCATTATAAGATTTAAAAATTACAACAAGGCTCTATCATACTAAACAATTACATATAAGCCCCTCCACTACCGGATATCCATAAGTAACCTCAAGGAAAATAAATATTGTCCCACCTAAACCATACTTAGTTCTTATTTTTTTTAGTAACCAATTTAATCCTTATTATCACTGAATTAAATTCTTTTATAAAAGGATTTTTCAAAATAAATATTTTTCTCAATAAATAATTTAGTAAACATTCTACTAAAATGCCCTGACTAGGTTCCAGCGATCAAAATTATTAAATTGCATCAATGGGATATTCTAATTCTTATAAAAGTGGATTCCATGTTAAACTTTTGTGTTCCCACAACTCCAACATTAGCCACCTAAGATGTTGTGGTATTGATCTTAAAAGTTCTCACACATTGATAAGTCAAAATGACTAGTATTGAAACTTGAGTTCACTAAATCCCTCAGGATTTAGAACTTATGGATTTAGTAGATAAGAAACACACCAAAATAATGATAGTATTTTGTATGGTGTGATCTTTTGGTGATTCAGCTCAGTGTACACACTAACACATTAACTTAGAGTTAACTACTCCAATGGTTGAGACAAACCATCATATCTCATAGAGGTTAAGTATGTTACAATCTTACAGATAAAAGTGCCCAATTTTTATCACCGACTACGAATGATGTTAAGGTGCATGAAACCGATGGGCTCAAATGTATAAAAACTAATTTAATAAATCATATTTATTAACTAAATATCGAATATTAAAAAGCAAATAATTGGCTCTCAGGGCACGTAATCCCAACAATCTCATGCATATATATATATATATATATATATATATAGAGAGAGAGAGAGAGAGAGAGAGAGAGAGAGGAGGGGGGAGGGAGGGAGAGAAAGGGTTATTCTATTACGAGAGGAAAGTGAATAAGTGAATGTTGCAGAGGGCAATCATGCAGCTCTCTGAAACCATGAGTTGGCGAGTAAACGGTTGCGAAGACGAAGAAAATGTTGTGGTTTATATGGCCGCAATCGGGTAGAGAGACCTGTATTGAATGCAAGGATCAATCCAATTTCGTTGAGAAAATTGCAAATCAATGAAAATAGGGACCCCAATTTACAAATATATCGAGTAAAATTATTAAAGTGCACCCTCCACGTAAATGAAAAAATGAAATTTATTTAGAGACGTAAAATAACTTTTTATCAATGTTTGAGAACCAAATTGTCAAATAGTTCTCCAAAATGGTTCGAAAAATCAATTGTTGAAAATCAATCATTGCATAGCTTGATGTGGATTATTAATTTAAAATTTTACTAATGCTCTGTTCCGTAAAAATTTGGATTGAAAGAAAAATTTTAGTAAAGAAATTATGTATTTTTTTTTTTGTTGGGTTGGATAGAAGAGAAGTAAATAAACTCATGATTTACTATATTCGCAAAGAGAGAAGGAAAGAAAAATGTGTTGTTTGATAAAACTGAAAATTAAGCACTGAAAATTTCAAGTACTGAATTTTAAGCGCTGAAACTTTAAGCACTGAATGTATTAATTTGAAAACTTGTTTAATTACATTTTAATTTTAAGTGCTGAATTCATTAAGATTGTTTGTTATATATAAAACTAAAGTCTGAAAGTTATACATATTACATTTTTACCCTCAATATCTGATACTCATAACAGTTTATATTTATAATACAAAAATATTAATAAAACAATCACATTTACTTAATGAAATATATAAATATATGGATTTTGTATTACATAATATTTAAAATATATGAGTTTTGGATTGAATAATATTTAGGTAGGGTGTTACAAAGATTAAGGAAATTACTTGAAAAAGAATTCTTATTTAGGAATAAAATTCTATTATATAAATATTTCATGAAAATAGTAGAGTATTGAAAAGAGTGTTAAGAAAGTATGTGAAAAACAATTCTCTGATAATAGAATTCTATTATATAAATAATTACATAATATTTTTGTAGGGTATAAAAATAGTGTTAAAAATATTAAAGAAAGTACATGAAATTGAATAAAATTCTGTTATATAAATATTTTATTTTCTAGTGTGAATCAATAAAAATGGTAACTAAAAAGCTATATACGTGTTTAAAATTAAAATATATTAGGTAGAATTATGTTTATTTTTATTTTTATTTTTGGAATTTGTTACATGTAATTCATTTTCATGAGAAAAATCGCAGAGAGACTAAAACAGATAACACAATTATATGAGGGTAGAGTAGTCATCAAAAAGTTATTTTTTAAACTCAACCACTTACCGTATTCTGAGATAAGCGATAAGTAACTTCCCCACGCTTAAAATTTTGGCCTCTTTTAAACGATACTTACCATGTTAAGCAGTGTTCTAAAATTTTATCAAACAAACTTATTTTTAAAAATCACTTACCGTGTTCTGCATTAACAAGTTCAAAGTTTTAATTTTTTTATTATTATATCTAATAATATTTATAATATTATAATTTATAAAAGATAATAATGTAATTTAAAACTTGTATAATTTAATATAATATTTAATTTAAAACTTGTATAATTTAGTATAATATTTAATTTAAAATTTCTATAATAGTCCATTTGTCTTCCCTCTTTTCTTCCACCCATTTTTAGGTGGATACAAAATTTTTAAAGGATGAAGTATGTGTCATCATTTTCATTTTTCTTTCTTTTTTTGTCTCATCCCTACCGACAAAGTAAGTTCGTTAATTCTTTCTTATTTTTTCACCACACCTCTTTTTCTTTTCTACTGAATACAGCATAAGGCTATGTAGGAGAGAAAATAAAACAACTGATAACATTAGTTATGAAAGAAAATAAATGAAAGGATATAGAAATATGCAATATTCGTGTTTGGATAAATTATAAAGTAAAGAAAAAATAAAAAATAAGAAAAAATATGATAGTATTATTGCTTGAAAAAGGTAGACCAAAAAAAAAGGTAAAGAAACCATTAAAACCAAATTACTGTCATACCCATTTGTACTTATATTCATCATTTGATTTTTTTTTTTTTATTTCTATTTTTTTTTTTCTGGTCGTTTCTTGTTCTTCCTAATACCCAACGAGAACACAACATAAAAACAAAAATATATATATATATATATATATATATATATATAATCAATTCTTACATATTAGTAAAATCTATCAAACCCAAAATTACATGCTTAACAACCAATAATTCAGAATCACAATGCCCACATTAAAACAACAATGTATGTTCTCCATTATGATTATCATGAATTTTTTTTTAACATATGTGATATATTAGAATAGTTAGAGTAGAGATTTAAGTAATTGAGTTTTTTTTCTTTTTCATATCTTATTCTTAATTAATTAAATATGATTTTTTTTAGTATATTTAAACAAATATTGCCCCACAGAAGGAAATTTTTGACTATGGCACTGCTTAAAATTCAATTCTTGAATTTTTATTTTTATTTTTCCCGGATTGAAAGATGAGAAAACCAGTGGGGACGTGGTCAACTCTCTCAAAATCAACTTATGTCGATGGAATATCTATATATGGGGGTTTTCACTCCCAAAGTTACCAATATGCCTGAAAATATAGATATAATGTACGTAATAACAAAAATTGGAATAGCCAACTGTGATTACTGTTATTATAATGGGGATAAACTTACATGAGTTGCATGTTGTATATGCTATTTTTGTGTGTCTAAAGTCAAAACATAAACATGCGTATGCATGTATATAAATACGTGACTTGGGTGTTTGAATTTTCAAATACTCCAATATTTTTGTTTATGTGGTTGAATACACAAATATTAATTGTAGAGAAGAAATGGCAGACACAAGTTCTGAAAATGGACTCGCGAAGATTCAGACAACGAACGAAATATGTCACGACGATAGCACGCCATCAGTGAAAGCTCAAACCATCAATGAGCTTCACTCGCTTCAGAAGAAGACAGGGCCTATGTCTCCAATGGTTAATGAAAATCAAGCTGCTTTTGAAGAAGAACGCAAGAAACAGCAGCTCCAATCCATTAGGTATAATTATATCAATATATATATATAATACAATTAATGAGCATGCACTGCATTGAGGACCTTGAGGTAAAAAGATTGGAATTTGGAAAGGCTTGTATGCACGGGCGGACCTGAAATATTAATTTGGGTGGACCAATTTAGTAACCGGAAAATAAAAGTCAAACTTTGGATAAACTGTAGTATTCATAATAAAAAATTAAAAATATTACAGTATTCATAATAAAAATTAAAAATATTTATTTCTTAGAAAATATAAGTAGATATAAACTGTAGTATTCATAATTAAAAATTAAAAATATTTATTTCTTAGAAAATATAAGTAGTAATTATATATATATAATTTTTTCTGAAATACTTTGGGGCCAAAATTTGATATTCTTCAAATTACCATTCATAATACACCTATAAGCCTTGTCTATATATGAAAAAGATTTTTTTTTTTTTAATTTACATTACGACATATAATTTTAGTTAAAATTTTAAAAATACCTTACTATATACTTTTGCCTTCATTGATATTTTCGGGTAAAACAGTCTAGCGTCTTTCTCATAGTGTATATATTTCAAAAAGGTTATGTGATAATGGATAGCATAGATAATGAAGCCATCATATATTATTTTCACAAGAAAGTAGTAGAAAACATTTTTTAATGTAATTAATAAAATATTAATTAATGTAATTTTATTATTATTATTAAGATAGATTGAAAAGAAAAAAAAAATTAAAAATTTATTGTGTTTCAAGGGCATCTCTTCTATAATTTTTTGGCTTGTTCACTTGAATTCTCCTTGTTACTGGTTCATTAATATGTTCGGTCAAAAAAAAATGTTGGTTATTTTATGATCAAACACATTTGTCCTGTCACTGATTAGTGTTCTGTTCTTGTTTGGATCAGTGCCTCTTTGGCATCTCTGACGAGAGAAGCTGGACCCAAAGTGGTGAGAGGAGACCCATCAAAGACATCTGAGACCCCAAAGATTATTCATCACCACTCCGTCACACCCACCATCAGCGTTACTGACAGTGCCTTGAAATTTACCCATGTCCTCTATAACCTCTCCCCTGCAGGTGAACATATACAATGTGTGTGTGTGTATTATGCTATATATTTATTTATATTCAAACAATTCAATCGATCAAACTATATACAATCGAGGCTTCATGAATTGGTGGTGTGCGTGCAGAGCTATACGAGCAGGCCATAAAGTACGAGAAAGGGTCGTTCATAACATCGACTGGTGCTTTGGCAACCCTCTCCGGAGCCAAGACTGGTCGATGTCCCAAAGATAAACGCGTCGTCAAGGACGAGACTGCCCAGGAAGAGCTTTGGTGGGGAAAGTATGTGCTCTCTCTCTCTCTCTAGCACAAAGAGAAAATAAAATGCTTGTTTAATTTCCTATCTGTTAATTCCTTTGTTTACATATTTTGTTTCTCTGTGTATATATATACAGGGGTTCACCCAACATTGAAATGGATGAGCACTCATTTATGGTCAACAGAGAAAGAGCTGTTGATTACTTAAATTCTCTGGACAAGGTAATTTTCCCTTTTCTGAACACATTTTAACTAGTCGGATTTATAAAATCTGCTGGAATTGAGAGTCACAAATTATAGAAAAGGGTGATATTTAACCTTAATAAGTTTGCTTGAAATTGCCTAATTTGAAATGTTAACCCCTCTCCCGTGTCATTTTCCTCTGTGTCTGTCATGTGCCTAATGCAACAACTACAACTACTTTAAATCGTTAATGAAACAACAACGAAAATGTGTTAAATTGTGTGTAATATGTTTCATCGGTGTTGTAATTTTGGTTTGCTAAAACTTTTTTTGAAGTTGCTGCATGGGTGTTGCATTTTGTGATGTTGCTTTGTTGCATTTTGAGGTAGATGTGTTGCAACAGTGCACGGGATCCCTAAACAGAAGGGGATACAGGTTCCCTTAAAGAATAGGAATGTGGCTACCCTTCACATTAAATTACACTAATCTGATAGGAATTGGATGTTGACTTGGTGATTTTTATATGATCAGGTGTTTGTCAATGATCAGTTCCTGAACTGGGACCCAGAGAATCGAATCAAAGTTCGGATTGTCTCTGCCAGAGCTTACCATTCCTTGTTCATGCACAACATGTAAGTGAATGAAAGCAGTATTTATCTTTTTGTTCATATTTCCATCAAGTTATTTTCTATTATCAACTTAATACTAATTATTCTATCTTGATTCATATTGCCCCTTCAAACAATTCAGGAAAAAACTTTAAAGAAAAAAAAAATGTTGCCTTAAAGTTACTGGTTATAAATGTGCATAGGTGTAATGGTGGATTAGTTTCGCATACAATCTGATAAGCTTGTGGGTGGCAGGTGTATCCGTCCCACACCTGAAGAGCTGAAGAATTTTGGAACTCCAGACTTCACTATATACAATGCTGGACAGTTCCCATGTAATCGTTACACACACTATATGACATCCTCAACTAGTGTGGATATAAACCTTTCTAGAAAAGAAATGGTCATTCTTGGTACTCAGTATGCGGGGGAAATGAAGAAAGGCCTATTCAGTTTAATGCATTACCTCATGCCTAAGCGTCAAATTCTATCCTTACATTCTGGTTGCAATATGGGCAAAGATGGAGATGTTGCCCTCTTCTTTGGATTATCAGGTATTGTATCATCACGGATCATTGTCAACTGATATGTGTCTGCCTTCTCACTCTTTCTCCACCAATTTTATTTTGCCTCATAGATGACTAATTTGCTTGATTGTCTGTTGCTTCAATTGCTAATGATGAGTTCTATTTAATTATCTTTTAGGTACTGGAAAAACAACTCTGTCAACCGATCACAATAGGTACTTAATTGGAGATGATGAGCACTGTTGGAGTGAAAATGGTGTCTCAAATATCGAAGGTGGTTGCTATGCCAAGTGCATTGATCTCTCCAGGGAGAAGGAACCTGAAATATGGAATGCCATCAAATTTGGGACTGGTATGGTCATATTTTACTCCCAATTTAACTTTGATCTTGTCAACTACAGTTTGAAACTTGGCGTGAAATTAATAGGGAAATATTTCAATACATTGTCCTTTGCAGTGGTGGAAAATGTGGTATTCAATGAACATAACCGAGAGGTGGATTATGCCGATAAATCTGTCACGGGTAATGCACTAGTCATTTGTTATTATAATAATTTATTAACTCCATCTTACTGCTGACATCAAATATGATAATTTTGACTTAGTCGTGCTAAGAATTTGCTTGCTCTCTCTTTGGAGTTTACTTAATTAGTTCATTCAAGAAACACATGTACACTAAATAGTGAATTGAATGATGCAGAGGAAGGAAATAAACTGAAGAACTTTATGATATTATGGCTATGTTGATTCTTGAATTTACCCTTAATTGTGGTCTCCCTATCACATGGTGTACTAGCACTTTAACCACTATTACAATGACATAGTATTATTGTCATTGCATCTTACTTACTGAGAGAAAAAACATTGTTGTTGCGTCTTACTGAACTCGTGCCTATTTGTCTTGTAACTGCAGAGAACACTCGTGCAGCCTATCCCATTGAGTACATTCCTAATGCAACGATTCCGTGTGTTGGTCCACACCCAAAGAATGTGATACTTTTGGCGTGTGATGCTTTTGGTGTGCTCCCACCTGTGAGCAAGCTGAACCTAGCACAGACCATGTACCATTTCATCAGTGGGTACACTGCTCTGGTATGTATCTCATTGTCAAAACTATACTCGATCTCTTTTTCATAGATCTTGTACAAATTCAGTGATAAATTATGTAGATAAGCCCCTCCCAAATGATTAGATGCACATGTACTGCATTTCTGTCTATGTATGAGTAAAACGATCCTACTAACTAATTGGGCAAGAGAAGAATATTTTGGTGACTGAATTGGTTATAAATACAGGTTGCTGGCACGGAAGAGGGTGTGAAGGAGCCAAGGGCAACATTCTCGGCCTGCTTTGGTGCAGCGTTCATCATGCTGCATCCTACTAAGTATGCTGCCATGCTAGCTGAGAAGATGCAGAAGCATGGTGCAACAGGATGGCTCGTCAACACTGGCTGGTCTGGTGGAAGGTTTGTATATATATTGGACTATAGTACAAAAGACTGTGATCTGCATTTATAAATATGTTAGAATTCGACAATTATAGTTGATTTTGATTATCTTGCAGCTATGGTTCAGGGAATCGTATTAAGTTACCATACACCCGGAAAATCATTGATGCCATACACTCTGGCAGCCTTCTGAATGCAGATTTCAAGAAGACCGAAGTGTTTGGGCTTGAGATCCCTACTGAGGTTGAGGGTGTGCCTTCAGAAATTCTGGATCCAGTGACCACTGTTAGTTGGCTGTTTCTTAATCTCAATTGCTTGTTATCTACCTTGTTTCATGTAGTGTGAATTTATTGTTTGAGAAATGCGTTTCTTTTCTGGATGCAGTGGTCAGATAAGAATGCTTACGAAGAAACATTGCTGAAGCTGGCGGGCCTGTTCAAGAACAATTTTGAGGGGTTCGTGAACCACACAATTGGTGAGGACGACAACCTGACTCAGGAAATCCTTGCTGCTGGTCCTATATTTTGATCTACTAGGGAAATGGAGCAAGAATAAAAGCACACACAAAAAGAGAAGAAAAAAAAAAAACCCTCTGTAAAAGATATGGTTACCAAAAATGTAAATAGGTGTATCATTGAGTTGAAATTAATCCACCATCTAATTTGAGATACTCTCACCTTTTTCTTGCCTGTGAAATACTATTCTTCAGCTTTATACAAATGCTAAGCTTAATTCTGCCTGGGGAAGTACTAGACCAATGTGTGCTAAAGAAGTAAAAAAACCATCATTTTTACCAACATTTAAAGAATACTACTAAAATGATGTGACAGTTGACACCTGATTTCATATACTGCTACACAATTTCTCAAGGCCTTGTAATTCACGAGTGATTGCAGCTATAGACAGTTTATTGTAAGGAATTTCATAGCTAGAAGACTTTGTCATAAGAGTACTTCAACTCATTTAGGAATTATTGGCTTTTTTCATGAAGTGAATAGGAGAAATAAGAGGATATAGAATGTTTTTTTCATATATCAATGAGGATTTGAATTCATAATATTGACTCAGTGACCTCTTTCTCCTCGTATAATAAAAGAAATTGCACATCTATAAGTTGGGCATTGCATTGACGGCTCATTGGGAGTGTCTAAAGTTCTGTTGGGGAATTCTTTATGTTACACTGTACTTTGCATCTAATCCCAATAATCCACCTTTATTGAGATTGTCCGATTATAGTGGTTTTGTGGTTTTGGGATGTGCTTAAGCAATGCAGTCACGGTGTTGTATAAAGGGCCAGGCCTTTATTGTCCTCACCCTATGTTTTTTGGTTCGAACTTCTTCTCCGTAACCCCCAGTCTAACTCTCGAACCATTGTGAGGTAAAATAAAATAAAAAAAGCAATGCAGCCCCAAACAAAAGGTTTGGGCTTGCACAAGCCCCCAAAATAAGGTACTAATATTTTTGAATCTGATCCAAAATAGAAAACAGGTCATCACCTCGATCTGGACTGACTACCAATTTGGGCTTTGGATAAGTAAAGCCCACTCCACAACTCAATGTGCTGGGACCATGGTTCACTTGTCTCCCGCAAATCCTTGTATGGGTATTAATGGCAGCGTTTAAGCCTTTTTAGGGATATGGCTCGAATGGAGAGTTGGTATAAGCTTTTTTCTAGGTGTTTAGAGAGTTGGTATCCTTTGCTGTAACAACACCGTGTTGTACAACAGGGGGTGATTGTGATCGCACAATCTTTCCTGCTGTACACACGGATCTGTTAATCATAACCGTCCCCTATTATACAACACGATGTGTTACACATAATAAGAGGATCAATATTCATGAAAACTGGAGATAGCTAAAGTATGGTCCAAATGACCAAGACTTAAATTATTATTTTTTTTTTATGAAAAAAATGGGAGTACCAAGAAAAGTGTATATATATATTGTTCCAATAATATTGAGTGCCCCATATCTACCAATAGCAATGTTCGTGTCTATGCATCGTTGGATAAGCATATATAAAATATATGGAACTATATTCACTCCTTCACAATTCCCATCACCAAGAATCTATGGTTAGATAACTAGAGATATTAAATTCCTATGCAACGGTGCAAGTTGCTCCCCGGAATATGGAATTTAATTTGTAAAGAAATGTCAGAATACATTGCAGCTTCGGAATTTGCTGCACATTTCAACGTAAAAAGAGCCTAAACGTAACTATACTTCGCTACTGGTAAAGGTTTTATCCTGACACATCTTACCCATATGTAATATGTGTGTGTGTGTATATATATATATATATATATATGGGGGTATGTGTGTATTTGGGACCAAAATGGGGAACTCACATTTGAAAAAGTGTGTTAAGTGGACCTTGGGCAATAAATCAGCACTAAACATTTTGGTCTAAGGTCGTGCGACCTTGCGAAATGTATTTATTGTCTTAACTTTTTGACTAATTATTGTAAATTAAAGATGGAGGACTTTTTCCAATTGCGTATCTTACCATATTTTGAAAATACCAGAAAGTAGCGTCACCTGTGACTCACTCCACTTTCTAGATTAGTTATCACAAATGGACTTTTGGGGAATTAAACAAGAAAATCACACTATATATAGCCTCAGGAAAGATATACAATATAAAATGAAATTTTTATATCGAGTGTCATTTTGCGTGTACTTGAAGGAGGTTTCATCATTAAAATATTTTGAAAAATGGTACAAAATTGAAAAGATCTAACAATTAAAATTAAAATTGCTTTATTTTATCTGGTGGTTTATAGTTTAAAGTGTGTATTGAAAGCGATCTGCAAATTTAAAATCAAGACATTGATTTGACTCTGCCGAGCACAACTTTCACTTTTATAACCTTTTTTCATTAACACTTTCGTTAGATGAGAGCATCATTGACAATCTCTCAAGTAACCACAAGTTTATTTTGTTATTGCACCGACTAGCCGACTATATCATCCCTTGATAAGGTAAATTAACAACTTGTATCTAAAGTGCAATTTAATTTTGGATCACAATACGTATCAAGTTTTATTAATTTTGGTTTCTCAAACTCAGTAAATTATGAGAATATGCATCGGGCAACTATTAACCATTGTAATAACGATTAATAAATAGAGTTTATGACTCTATGAAAGAGTCCTTGTTACACAAATTTTGATTTATCAGTCCCATAACACGGTTAAGATTTAAGTGCACAATAGAAAGAATTCAAATTTACATACGATACATTAGATATTATTCGTTCAAACACCAAAGATTAATCCTATCATTAAAAAAGAATCCTTTACCATTATAAGAGTTTCTGCTTTGAATTTGCCATAAAGAGTTGGGGGCGGCAATGAAATTTAACTAATTAGGCAGTTCAGGCTCTAACCGCAGTGGAGTCTATTGCCTTGCAAAGCCCATTCGTGTGTGTGTATATATATATATATATTATTTTGCTGCTCAGAAAATGGAAAGCGAGTCGGCCAAAATTCACTTATGGCGGTTGGTTTAGATGTTGAACTCACATACCTGTTGATCGATAGGTATAATATCACTTCAAGAGGTGTATGATATGCCCAAAGTTTGAATTTCATAGAGTTGTTCATATCATGATCTTCAATATATTACAGTGGTCCCTTTTTTAGGGTTCATCATATATTCAGGAAATAAGTTGTAGGAAAGCAAACTGCAAAGAGATTTCATATTCTGTTCTAAGTCACACAATCCCCGGTAGGTGTCGCTCTCATGTTCCGAACGCACTTCTGCTCTTGCGCTCCGTATGCGTTCTCGTTCAAATTCTCACTATTTATGATATAATTTTGCTACTCTCACGCTCCCGCTCTCACTTGATGTGACTTATTTCTGTTCCTAATTCTTATTTCCAACTTGACTGATTAATGAGATTTGGGTGTGTATTTTCATGTATCTCTTGAAGTTTATCTTCATAGCCTATAAAATAGTAATATTATAAATTTATAAGTAACACAATTCTTCTTTAACAGGTGCTACGTTTATATTTTGTGCGTGTTCTAACTTCAATTTCTATTATAAATAATTTAAATTTTTCGCCCATGACGTGACTTTATGTAATATTGTAATAATTAATTATGGAGTATGGGTGTAAAATCTCCCCCAAACTTGGAACTCAACACCCCAACCTCCCTTCGATTTATCACTTCAAGACAGAGTTCTACCTTCCCTGTAATCAGACAAAACCTGGCCATACCCACCCAATCCTTTCCCTCCTGCAATTCCATAATGGACCCGTCCAAGTCCACGTCTCACCCAACCGAATCCATCCCATCATATAAAAGGTTAAAGGTTTGGGCCTCCACCACATAAACCCTTCCCTAGCTTACCCTTTGAATTACTTACTACACACATTCGTGTGAAGTTTCTCAGATAAAACCTCCATGTGAATGGGTCCTCATCAAATTACTTCGAACTTTGAAGCTGTGGGCTCACCATTCTCAAAATTCACTATCATTGGCAACTAACGAATAAGAAGTGACTTCAGCTGTTAGATCTAGATGCTACATGAGATGTGCCTTGCTAATAGTTTATTTTCAGTTAAATACATATATTGTTTCTTTCAATGGTGCAATTGTTGTTGAATGAGAAGGGTCACACATGACAACCACCTCTTTCAACATATTTGGTTCGGTTATGACTAAGCTTGGGTTAGAAAACGACCAAGTCGAATCATTAATGATAATTAAATACATAAATTCCTTCATGCATGTCAATAAGTAGATATTGGGGGTCTCTTACACGTTATTTCATTGGTATATTCACAAAATATGATGTGAGACAAAATTCTATATAATTTGATTAATTTGCTTTCGATCCCTTTGTGAATTCAAAGTAACACCACCACTTTTTTTTTTTTTTGGAAGATAAGGATAATTTTATAAAGAAAATATGAAAAATTACATACAGAAGTTAACAATGACAATGCAATAACAATGCATTATTTCAAAAAAATTTAGTCCTACGTGTAAAATAGCTGATAAAAAAATAATATGTTATATTTGACTGGTGAGTTTACTAATGAGATGTCATACTAATGTATTAATTAGCAAATTAAGTTCGTAATTATTAGGATGGATATCTTTTATTCAAAAGCCAGCAATTAGCCAAATACCTCAATTTTCTCCCTTGAACTATTTGTGTCAGTGGATTAATTCGATCCAAAATTGGAAATAATGATGGTAAGCCGAAATGTAAGATCATTGCTCCAAAACTTGAAATAATGATGGCAAGTTAAAACATAAAATCATCGTTCCAAAACTAAAAATAATGTGATGTAAAATAGAATTCTATATAGTTTGACAAATTTATTTTCGATCAAATATGAGTGTTTTTTGAGTGAAAATAATTGAGAAAAATTCACTAACTTTTAGTGGATCATATTGGTTTTTGTTTAGAGATTTATGTATTCTTTTTTTATTTTTTTTTATGTAAATGACAAAAACATACTTAATTCTTTTACTGTATATAGAAATTAGTAACGGTAGAGTTATTTATAAAAGAGAATGGTGCGAAATGAAATCCCTATTTTCTAGGTGTCTGCTTTACTTAAATCACTTTTTAGGTCTTACCAAAAGTAACGAAGTTATAATGAAAAATAATAATTAAAAATAATAATAAATAAATAAATAACGTCACTGCGAATTGGAAAGGTAAGGACGCTTAAACCTCGGATAGCTTTCTGTCAGAACTTCTAACGT